TGTGTGTGTGTGTGTGTGTGTGTGTGTGTGTGTGTGTGTGTGTGTGTTCAGTAATGGGGAGATATTTTTGTTAAGCACAGCAATGTACCCATGACTCATGGTTTTATAGAGTGCAGTAACCAAAATCCAATTTGTGTTCACTGCATGTGTGTTTGCCATTTTGAGGTCCAGCAGGTGTTTATTACACCTTGTGAGTAAAAAAAAAAAAAAAAAAAAGAGTCAGAGAAAGTGTGGCTGATCTCAAATCTGAAGAAACACCCTCCTGTATATCATCCGTTACAGCGTCCTGTTCTCGTCTCATTCCTTCTCCTTTTGTTTTTGCAGAGAACAGCTGACCCGAGGCGCAGTGTCTGTCTGCATTTGTCTGAAAGAACAAGCGGCAGGAGTGCAGACATCATGCAAGGAGAAGCATCCCCTCGTCGCAGAGCGCTGAAATGTTAGACCCTGAGAGCGAGCGTGTCAGATCAGATCAGCGGGCTGTTCACCTCCGAGGGGACCAGGAGAGCTGCTCCAAAACAGACTCTGTAACACCCTGCGTGCTGTTCGAAGCCCCTCTCTGTCACGGCCAAGACAAGACGTGTTAACTCCTCCTTCATTGGCCCTTTTCTGTATTTCTATCAGCTTCGGGGGGGAAGATGGAGTGGTCCCTGGAGTGTGTGAAGGAGCTGGTGGCTGGAGGGCTGGAGTATGTGAGGGAGTGTGAGTTCTGCGCGTTCGTCACAGTCGCGTGCGTGCTGGTGCTCTTCATGTGGTACTTTTACAGAGTGGGCCGCCAACACGACTCTGGCCCCCTGCGCAGGAGGTACTTGAGTGGGTCCAGCCGGATCGGAGGAGTGGTGGGGGGCTTCATGAGTTCAGACTGTCGGTGCAAGAGGAAAGGGAAGCTGGAGGAGCAGAACGGCTTTGCTTTCTGCCAGTCTTCAGAGTGCTTCCGCTGCTCCAGCGCCGGCGAGAGCCTCAACCAGAAGCTGTATCACAGCCTGCAGGAGTACGCCAAGCGCTACACCTGGTCAGGTATGGGGAGGGTGCACAAAGGAGTCCGTGACCAGGGTAGGTACATCAACAGTCGACCGTCGATCCAGCGGCCGGAGGTCTTTTTCCTCCCTGACCTGCCCTCGGCCCCTTTCTTCTCCAGGGAAGTGCAGAGGCACGACGTGGAGCTGCTCGAGCTGAGCTTCCCTACCCTTCTGGCCGAGTTTGAGAGCATCTACCACCAACCGCCAGCACGCAGCGGCTCCTCCCTCCCACCGGGCTGGAAAGCAAACAGCACGCCTCGTGGGCAGTGGTGGACCTACTACCTGGTGAACCAAGGCACCCCCTTGGTTCTAAACGTCCGGAGGTGTCCGCGGGCCTGGAGGGTGCTGGGCCAGCTGCGCACGTTCATCGCCAACAACGTTTTCGGAAACGCCTGCTTCTCCGTGCTGACGCCGGGGGCGCTCATCACCGAGCATTACGGCCCAACAAATGTCAGGCTGCGCTGCCACGTGGGTAAGAGAGTGAAGCTCGGTGTTTAACTCAACACAGAGCCAGAGCAAAAGAGTTAATCAGCCGCTGTGTTGTTTTAGACCAAACCCTCCTGAGATATGGAGGCTGAAACATGGTGCAGAAACAGTTCTTGTTTTCTCTGCACCTGAGCTTCCATTCTATTTCCATCTGTGAAACGACTATAAATAGTCACGTTTATTGTTTTGAAGGCAAAGTGCTTTTGAATCATCTCTCTGTATGGATACAGGACACTGAATAGTTAGCATGAATACATGTGAAACACCTAACCCATGGATGGGCCTGTTGTTTCTCTCTGTTAGGTCTCAGAGTGCCTCCTTCCTGTGAGCTTGTAGTTGGTGGCGAGCCACAGTACTGGTCTGAGGGCACCTGTCTGCTCTTTGATGATTCCTTCCTCCACAGGGCTTTCCATGAAGGTGAGCCGCCATCGTTACCTGTGTCAGTGTGTGCAAATGGTTATTGTCTGATAGCAAAATGTCTCAGTAGGTGGATTTTAATGAAACTCGTCAAAAATATTAATTGGATTTATCCAAACAAATAAATAATGCCCCAATTTCAGTTGGCTGCCGCCGTTAGTTGCCCTTAGCTAACACAAAAATAGCTATAATTTTGTAATTTTTACAGATATTGAGCTGCAACTTGGTGTGGTAAAACATGGCATTGGATCTTTGTTTAAAACATATAAGGCAGTGGGGGATGTGCATTCCTTTTATGTGCATAGTTTGATTTTATTTACAGAAAGTGCAACAGTAGGAAAAAAGCAAAAACTCATTGGGCCTCATGCAAGAACCGTTCGTACGCACAGATTTGTTCTTAAGTTGTGCGTACGAGTGATTTAGGAGAATTTGTGGCATTCACCAATGT